GTGTTTAGGGCTTAGGGCTTATATAGGGTTTAGGGGTTTAGAGGTTTAGGGTTTAGGGGTTTAGGGTTTGGGGGTTTAGGGTTTAGGGGTTAGGGTTTAGGGGTTTAGGGTTTAGGGTTTAGGGTTTTAGGGGTTAGGGTTTAGGGTTTAGGGGTTTAGGGTTTAGGGTTTAGGGTTTGGGGCTTAGGGTTTAGGCAGTATAGACGTTATGTTCCGCAGCTGAGCCTGCCGGCGCATCGACCGTTGCCCAAGTGGCACTGCCGCTCCGTAGCATCGTCCGGAGGGCAAATTCAACATTTGTCAAGGCATATGCGGTGGGGATCGAAGTTTTCCCCTGGGCCCGCCCCGAAAACAGCCAATATTATCCAATATAGACGTAACACGAAACCCTGAACCCTGGACCCTAGACTCGCACCTAAATGCCCTAGCTGCTGAAACTCGACTTCGATAATCCTAGATTGCACCGGCCTACCTCAAGCCATTCAAGCCGAATCTGTGAAAGGTTCCGAATACAAGAAAACGCCAAACTCGCAGGAAATACAAATAATTAATCTTCAGCAGTCAAAAACCTTCAGCTGCTTTGAGAAGGTCAGCACTGGGCTGGTTTGTAATGGAGGCTTTCAAAGGCGAGGCTGGTCCCCAAAAGAATGGATAGGCCACGGTTTAGGGTTTAGGGTTTAGGGTTTAGGGTTTTTTTTTTTTTAAGGGCTCCTTTTTGGGTCCGCACGAAGAGTACCAAAAGCCTGTTTAGGCGAGCGGTGGGTTTAGGGTTTAGGGTTTAGGGTTTCAGGGGTTTGGGGTTTTAGTGTTTATGGTTTACGGGCAAACTAAGAACCTGAAAGTCGACTCCCTTGAGTTGTTTACCGGCTTCTTCAACCCTTTGCAAGCCCCGTGTGATGTTAAACCCCCTTACACAGAACCCTATCGACCCCTGTCAGGAAAATTGTGTAAGACCCCAACGCGGCCTGCTAAAAAGAGTTGACAAGACCGCAGAGGGGCCCTGGCAAAGCCCCACTTGCACCAAGAACCTCGGGTAAACGTAAAATCTAAAAGGGCTCGAACACCCTATCAGAACCCCAGCTTCCCGGGATCACACTTGTGTACAATCCTTTTCAACCACCTCACCCTAAAGCCTACAACATGCCATATCAAACCCTGCAAGACCCTAAACCTCAAGGGGTCCCAACGCCATAAACCCTGAACCCTCAATCCCTCCAAACCCCAAACCCTTAACTAAACCCGTGCTAAGTCCAACTCGCAAGACCCCACAGTTCGGGCCCAAGTCTTGGCGGAGCCTTTGGTGCAGACCTCGCCGCCGGGGTCCTTGCCGAGGTAGCTTCAGCCTTGACAAGCCGCGGATCAGGGGTTTTGACGATAAGGGTTCCTGAAAGGTTCAACAAAGGCTCTCTAAGGCTTTTCAGGCTCTGAAGGGGTGCTGTGTGGAATGTGGAACTCACCGTGAGTCAGATAAAGCTGCAGCTTCTTATTGTAGGAGCATGCCTTTTAGTTAGAGATTTGGGAGTGTCTCCTAAACCCCAAATGGGTGGTTGTCAAAACTATGGTCCCTTTCTGGGTCCTTAATATAGTACGGCACCTCCTAAACCCTCAAAGGACCCTTGAAGCAGCCTTAAAGCCTTGATGAAGCCTTAAGGAACCCTTGCAGCCAAACCCTAAACAACTAACCCCTAAACCCCTTAAAGGAGCCTTACAAGCCTTAAAGAAACCCTTGCAGCTAAAGCCTAAACAACTAACCCCTAAACCCCTTAAAGGAGCCTTACAAGCCTTAAAGAAACCCTTGCAGCTAAAGCCTAAACAACTAACCCCTAAACCCCTTAAAGGAGCCTTACAAGCCTTAAAGAAACCCTTGCAGCTAAAGCCTAAACAACTAACCCCTAAACCCCTTAAAGGAGCCTTACAAGCTTTAAAGAAACCCTTGCAGCTAAACCCTAAACAACTAACCCCTAAACCCTAAACCACTCCTTGGAGCCTTAAAGCCTTAAAGAAGCCTTAAGGAACCAACCCTAAACAACTAAACCCCTAACCCCTAAACCCCTTAAAGGAGCCCTAAAGCCTCGCAGAAACAACTGAACCCCTAAACCCCTTGACCCCTTAAAGGAGCCTTAAACCCTTAAGGAAATTCTTGTTGCTCAGCTCCCGACCTGCTCCTGGCTCTGCCAACTGCCGTCCGCCGGCGCCGTCGTTTTTCTTTCGCAGAGCTCTGAAGCAAAGAACTATAGCTAGGGTCTCTTTAAAGGGATCTATAGGGATTCCGTAGGGGAATTCTGTTTAGGGCCTACTTGGGGTTCCGGTTTTAAGACTTAGGAATCAAGGTTTTAGGCTCTCGGACTTTGGGTTTAGTCGCTTAGGGTTTCGGGTTTTGGACATAGGGTTTAGGGTTTAGGACGTAGGGTTTGGGTTGGGTACTGCCCCCCAACAGTAACAGTCCAGAATAGGGCTACTATTAAGGTCCTAACATATCTATATTATGAATTATTATCCGACTGTTACTGAGTGGGGGCAGTACCCAAGGTTTGGGGTTTAACGATTATGAAGGATTCAAAGACTGGACTGAGGGTCTAAGGCTCAGGGTCTGTTGTTTTTGCAGAGTGCGGGTTCCATAAGATTTTAAGGCTTTGGGCTTGGTGTGTAAGCTAAACCCCTAACCCTACACCCTAAACCCTGGTAGCTTCTGACGCTACGAGCTTGGGAACAGCATGGAAGACGCGCTTCCTCTATTATCTCTACAGCACAGGCGCCTACCAGGTTTTTGTAAGGGCTTCTTAAGCATTCAGGGTTTACCTGTAGCCGAAATAAACCTACCTTGTTAGGGTTCCTTATTATGGTTTCTATATATAGTTCCTTAAACAGGGTAGGTCTTTTCGGCTACAGTTACAGGTCGGGTTAAGGGCTCCAAAGGCTTTTACAAGTAGACTCGGATCTTCTTGGTTCCAAATGCTGCAAACATACCTATACTGAACTTAGAACCCTAGCAAAAATGCTAATTTTAGCTGTTTCTTAGGGATTATACTAACCAAAAATTCAAAATTGTTTCTAAGTACCCCTAAGATACTAAAACCCTACCAACATGCAACTTCTTACTCTCCCAGGTGATACAGGGCAAGACTGCGCAACCCTCATCCCAGTCAACGCGCCCTTCTACCCGAAGGTTAGGATGAAGTTCGTGGGATTCGGCATCGGCCGTAGGGTTAAGGGTTTAGGAGTTTAGGGTGCTCATGGACAAAATCCTGCACTACCTCAAAGTGCCCGAAGATTTTGGAACTCTGGCACTATCCTTGTTACGGATTTTGCGGGATTTGTTCATCAGGGGAACTGAACCCGCAAGCACCCCATTCCCTGAACCACTGGTCTTCGTTGACAGACGGGCCGCATGCAAGCAGCTGGGGTAACCCTACATCATACTTTTGTAGACACTAAACGCCTACACGGCGGCTAAACCTTCAGTTCAGACCTTTGTACTGGTTTTATGGCCTCTGACCAAAAATTCTGCATTCCGGCGTCGGCGGGTGAAACTATTCCTGACGGCCTCGCGCTCAGAGAGGCCTGGAAGGGATAAAGCGTCCAGAGGTCTGTGAAAAGCTTAGCGCATCCATGGCTTGTGGCCTACGTGATTCCGAATTCCGGCTTGCGGCTTTTAGGGTTTAGGGCTTAGCATTTGCAGGCTGGGGGAGCAGACCCCAAACCGCACCATGAGGGTTTGAGACCTCGTTCTCCCTCTCTTCTTGGGCATTGAGGGCTATGTCGGGGCCGCTTCAGGACAACATGGGGCCTCAATGATTAGTCTGGGGTGCACCATGTATTCAGTCCAGTGTATGAAGGCGAACAGCATAGCTCCTAGCAAGAAGGATCTCTGAAAGGGCCCCTTGCTCATAAACACCCTCACCTCGAATCACTAAATCCTAAACTCCTAAAGTCGAACCCTAACACTTCATGGTTAACTGGGTCGCTTCGTTTCCTGCGGGTCTTGTCCTCGTCGGCTCCATGCTTCCTACAGTTAACTCCTTAAAGTACACACTTTGGGTTGGGTTTAGGGTTTAGGGTTTTGGGTTTAGGGTTTTTGGAGTCTCCAGGGTTCGGGGTGCCTTTACAGGGATCCATAAGGGTCTATAAAAACCCTACAGTAGACCCCATACAGTTGGAAACCGGATTCAGGCCAGGGATCCCCTTTACATTACTCTTAAGCATTGAGGCTATTGGGTTTCCAACTTTTAGGCTTCTACTGTAAATCGCAAAGGCTAGGGTTTAGGGTGTAGGGTCTACCGCGACCGACGATGGCTCTATGATCTTCATCATCCTGCCAGCAATTGCAAAGGGCGAAGGACCAAAGAGAGAACAAGCAAATTCAACACCAACCCCTTAAACAAAGGTGAAAAACGGGTTTAGGGTTTAGGGTTTAAAGGTTTAGGGTTTAGGGGTTATAGGGTTTAAAACGGATACAAGGGCACTACCGGCCCACCCGGATGCACAATACCCCTGACCGCTGCACTCGGACGGCCAAGCTCCGAGGATATGACTGCTGCTGATGGACAAAATCCTGCATGATCCCCAGGGTTCCTTTAAAGGGATCTATAGGGTACCTTTACGGGGTTCCCTTCAAGGGATCTATAGGGTTTTGGGGTTTAGGGTTTAGGTTGATGATATAATGGGTAATGCAGGATTTTGTCCATCAACAGTATGGGTGGATGACGGAGGAATCATGTTGCGATCTCATGTAATACAGCGGCCTTCATGATTAGACTAGGGTTGCGGGGGTGGGGGTGTACTATGGCAATACTCCACTCTACTTGCATTCTGCCCCTTACCCGAAACTCTAAACCGTAAACCCTAAACCCTACCTGGACCCCCCAACTACCCTTTTTTATACCCTAAATACCCACTATTAAGGACCATAAGGGCTTTATTGAAGGGTACTTGGGGGGTCCTGGTAGACCCCTTACTCGACCCTGCACAAGAGGCCTCGAGTCTCCTCCCCGGTGCGCCTTCTACTGGCTCGTCGCAAGAGACTTCATCGGCGGGTGCGACTCATTAGGAGTGCCTGTGCTTGGTTTTGATCGGGCTTGCTAGGGCTTAGAGTTTAGGGGTTTAGGGCTTTAGGGGTTTGGGGCTGTAGAGGTTTAGGGTTTAGGGGTTTAGGGCTTTAGGGGTTTCGGGGTTTAGAGGTTTAGGGGAAAACCCTACGCCTACACCCCTGAACCCTAAACTTGCAACCCCTGAACCCTAAATACCATCCAGAACCCCAACACCTACACTCCCAACACCAAGCCCCCTAGCTCTAAACAATGTATGATGTCAGGAAGGCTCGCAGAGGCCCTGAAAACAAATGGATACAAGGACAATAAATGGATATCCATACTGGGCTTTGAAGTAACCAGTGAGAAAAAAGTATAGACTTTTTTCTCATAATTGGTTCCCTTTAAGTACCAGGTCCCAAAAAAGTATTAAAGTATGGTACTCCAAAGCCCAGCATACGAGCTACTCAGACCTCCGTATGGGAGGATTTGGAGATTTAGGTGATTGCCAGCGCCTTTTTCCATCATGGGCTATCGTCAAGTCCCCTCAAAATCACTCCCATCATTACCATCATCACCATCATCGCCATCTTGTAACCAAGAATCTAACCATGACCATTGCGGCTACTGCTATTCTGCGTACTCATACACAAGGCTGACAAGTCAGACTACCTTTGCCATCATTGCTATGCCCGGCTCTGCACTATTCCTGTGACTAGCTAACCTACGACACCAAAAACGATAGACGCTGAAGCCCAGATGAGCCCAAATCCTCAGGCCTGAATCGATTCAAAACCTGTGCATTGAAATTAGGGGCATTACATGACCTTTAACAGTAAACGTGTGAAAGCCTCAATTTCTGATTGAAACCTGGAACAAGCACCTGCAAACCTGAAGCAATTGTCAAAAAGCTGAGACACTGCCCAAAGCCTAGAAGCCTATCCCTAAACCCTAAACCCTACACCCTACACCCTAAGCCCTAGACCCTAAACCCAAAGCACAAATTGAAACCAAATACGACCCAAAGAAGTCTCCACGCAACCCTCTTACAGCTTCAGTCAGCCCCAAAACAAAGCAAGGCATCCTGCGAACGAGCCTCCAAGACCACCAGAGTGCCGGTTTAGGGTTTAGTAAAGAGATATAGGGAACTCCAGAAAGTTGGAATATGGTTTCAGGGTGGGATACCTTATAATTTACCATAAAGGGTTTAGGATAATCATATTCCAACTTTCTGGCTTTTACTATACTTCAGCTCCATTATAGTGTTTAGAATATGATACATAAAACTGTTGAAACCAGGTAATACAACTAGATATAGATATATCCCAAACCTTGACAGCTAAGACACCCGAGTTGTGGTCGCCAGCACCGCCGCCAATGTTGTACATTTGGTCGGTTTTGAGGTTGCCGGGCCACAAGCCTTCGTTCGTAGTTTTAGGGCTTGTGGTTGTATGTCTTCCCAATCTTATAGTGCTGTATAGATCAAAGCAGGCCTCTATTGCGTTTCCCAACTTTTTCTGTTTCGGTTTACAGCTTCAGGCCTTGGGATTTGTGGCACAACGGGATTAGGGCTTGAGGGCATTCCACAGCTTTTCGGTCCGTCTGATTGACCGCGGTATACTAGGGAATGAAGTGCAGAAGGAATTGAGATCCCCCCCTACCCAAGACCCTAAGCTACGGTTTAAGGCTTGTTGCCATGATGTCGGACCCGCGTCCGGCACCCACGAGTCTTGCATAGAAGAAAGGGATATGAACCACTCAGTAGCCAGGGTTTATGAGTGTAGGGCCGACGGTTTAAGACTCTTCTGATCTACTTGGACTCCTCGCCTGGTTCAGAATTTCGCTGCAGGACTGCTCTCCCTTTGATTTCTCTTCAAGAACGACATCCGATTAGCCCCGAAAGTCGTCCCCAAACCTGTCACAACCTGAAACTCTAAATACCAAACACGAACCGTGAGTTCCTGGACTCACTGACTGTCAGCTCAGAAGAACTCCCCAATAACTCAAAGGGCTCAGGCTTTACGGCATTTCGAGTAAAACGTGATGATTGGGATTCCAGAAACTACAAACCTAAGATGCTTCTCGTTTGGGGCCTCCTAGACCCAAACCTTCAAAACCCTAACCCCAAGTCCTGGAACCCTAAACCCTAATTCCTAAAAGCATTAAAACCAACCAACAAACTTTATTCAAAACCCTAAACCTTAAATTTGAAAGGATGCGGAAAACAAGAACACTATCACGACGCTTAAAACTCAAACATCCAACCATTTCGTCCATCCCCCCAATTGAACGAGTAAACGTACAGTAAAGCCTTTGAATCGAAGAAACTCAAACCTCATGAAATCTTAAAGGACCACTTCAAACGACAAAAAGACCCAACGCCAAGGAACACTCGAAGTGCGACTGCTTGCTGCAGCAGGTGGCGGCGCCCGTCTGTTTAGCAGAGGCTTCCGTAAGGGTCCGTCAAGGGTGTTCAATTGAGTGCTCTGTAAGGGATTCTATGAGAGTTTAGTTTCTAACCCGAAATAAGAGCTTTTACATGGTATGAAGTGGACTGGGGCTTCGGGTGGCGGTATCCTAGAACTCTTGCATAAGGAGGATGAAAGCACGATTAGTAAGTATTCAGACCTCGATACTACACCAGGAAACCTCTGTCCCACCTACCCGCCCTTATCCCATCCCTCGTAGCGCTTGAACTGACAGTTGAGGTAACCGGGCTTGCAGCCTAGACCCTAAACCCAAACCATCAACGTTTTTGGCCTTGGGACAGGGGGCCATGGATTCGGAGGTTACGGCTTAGGTGTTTGGGGCTTTAGGGTCTCGAATTTGCCAAAAGATGCTGAACAAAAATAATTCAGTTTCGGTACAGCCCTATATCACCCTGTTGAAACCTAAACAAACTGCGTGGCATCCGTAGGTGGCTGTACATCGCCTGTCAAGTGACGCTCCTTCCTTTCAAACTTGCCAAGCTCCATCCTGCCATCCTTGGGTGTAGGTCGAAAAGGAGGGACCCTTGATGGGGACCCCTACCCTATAATGGGCTATATATTGGGTATATCATAGCTATATCAAGGGCATATACCTCCTTATTAAGGGTCCCTCATTTTACCCTTGGATTGTTGTCCTCCACCAAACCGGTGTGGGGAGAGCAGCAGCAGCGGATGCTCTCAATTCCGTGATCTGACCACTTCATCTCTAGCATGTCAAGCACTGGGTGTGGATTGGTTTACACCCAATTTAGGGGCCTTAATAACTAAAAGACGGTTTTGGGGGCCATTATACTATAACTATAATAAGGAACCCCACAAAATAGCATAGGAAATTATGTCGGCCCCTATATTACGCAGTGTTCCAACTCAGCGGGTTCCGCTTGCGGGAAGTGAGTCTGTCGGATTGACATCTCTGCTCCTTGAAATGCCTACAAAAACCCTACACACCACTGTAACACCTTTCAAAGAAACCCTAAAGCCTTAACCCGCGTACCGTTACCTAATTTCGGGTCTGGAGTGGCAGCTGAGGTGTAAGGACACCAGAAGCACCAAAACCCTCGACTCAATTTAGGATTTAGGGTTTGGGGTGTAGGGCTGCCCAACATCATTTTAAGGACCCCTCTACATGTTAAGGCATGCTGCTTGCATTGGGGCGCTTTGGAGTTTGTATGGCATTTTTAGGGCCCCAAAAAAGCACATAAGCAAAACTAGGGTAGTGATATCCCATATAAACCCCCTTATAATGAAGCCCAATAAGGTAGGATATCCCCATAAAATGCTTATGCTTATGTGCTTTTTGCCAGACCATAGGCTTGCCCTGGCCGTAGACCCCATCCACCCAAACCGGCTGAGCGCGGCACGCGATAATTATGAGTGCCCTGGGTGAGGATGGAGCACTTCTTATAGCACTGCTCCATGAACATCTCCTCGCATTGCAAAGGTTGTGGGGGGCTGAGGTCTGCCAGTTGTGTAAAACCCTAAACCCTGTACCCTCAAACCCTACACCCTATATGGAACTTTATACCTACACCCTAAACACTAAGCCCTAAGCCCAAGAACCTGAACACGAATCACTCAACTCGTAATCTAAAATCCTGAATCCCAACCTGTAGCCCGCACTGCGGAACTAGAGTTTCACACCTTCCGGCTAAGCACTCGCCGACCACCCCAGGCAGCGGAATTGGGTTCCAAGCCGTGGGCCAGTAGGTGTTCACGTATATTTCGGCCCGTTTAACGGCTCTGTTTTGCAAGATGTCCCCAATTCAAAACATGCATCCTAGACCTAGAAGTGAGCAACACCCAGCGACGATTCGAGGTGTGAGAAGAAAAGCTTCGCATGCGTAGGGCTTAGGGGAACTGCGCCAGTTTCAAAGCCTGAACTGGATACCGAAACAGCTCAATACCCCTGAAGCAAGCGATAAGCCTTAAACCGTAACTTGTAAACACAAAAGCGTACAACGGAACAGAGACTTCAACCCTTTCTCCTTGGAGGGTAAGCAACAAGACTTCCTTAGACTTCCTTGGAGATCCCTGTAAGAGGAACCCATAGCCCAACAAAGCAAAAGCAGCTAGGAACCTCACGGCCTCACAATCAATCCCCTGGGATATTTGTAGGGTTTATCACTTCAGGAATTCTTAGGGTGTTTATGGTTTAAGCTTTAGGGTTTGTCGTGTCAGGGACTAGGGACTTTCATGCTCAATTGAAGAGGCCAAGAGACCCCAACCCAACTTCGGTCCGGGTTCAGAAACCGAAAGTCCGTTGATCAAAAACCCTCAAAAGAGCGTTAGGTTTTTTTGTTAAGCACCTTTTTCCGTCTGCAAACTCTGCATGAGGGTTTAGGGTTTAAGCCTGTTTAGGGTTTACAGCTCCGCCTGTCCTCGTTGTTGAGGCAGTCGCCAACGGCTGTGGGGCAGTTGGTGCCCTGCTCGGTCACCTGCTCATCATGTCAGCATTAGAAGCTGCACCCACCCTGTAATAGTGACTATAAGGATTATATTAGGGCCCTATTATATTCCTATTCTATTCCTATTATGCCACTATTACAGGGTGGGGGCAGCTTCTAATGTCCGCGTTTCTTTGGGGACTAGGGGACTCCACTCAAATACCATGCTCTGAAGTTCTTACGGTTGAGGGGCTGAGCTTGCCTTTGGTTAGTAGGGAGTGGAAGAATGATAGTAATAGTAGTTATAGTTATACCCCATTCCTCCATTCCCTGCTAACCAAAGGTAAGTTAGGAGTGAAGTTTGGACACCGCTGCATTCTTTCTGCGGCCTCGAAGCACAAAACTCTGCGACAAACAACCCTGGAGCTTGGAATCCCAAACCCCAAGCCCAATGCAGACAAGAAGCCCTTATGACATTTCGAATCAAATCCCAAGCCCCAAACTCTAATGGTGAACCTTCCCTAAGAAAAGCCCCAGCCCTAAAGCGAAACCCTAAACACCCCATAGCCAAAGCATAAACACCTACTGCAACTCTTCGTCTCATGCAGGCAGAAGCTTCATTGTTGAGGGGCCCTTCACAGAAGCATAGAACCATGCTCTGCTACAACTACCCTAAACCCGAAGCCAATCCTAAACCCTACCTAGATACCAGACCCTTTGCCCTAGACCGTATAAAGACATGGAATGGGGCTGTAGCGTATTTGTATATGATACTATCAACTTGCTACGGAGCTCTTTACCACTTGAGAAGAACTACGCAGCTCCCATAAAATGGCAACCTCAAAACAAACTATCCAAATAAATCAAACATAGGAACCTCGAACCCTAAACCGGGCCTCATCGTGACCGGACACGGCATAGCCGAAGCAAAATCCTGGTTCCAGAGTGCTGCGTTGTGTTTGGAGGGGTAGGTTTGTTTTGCAGGTTGACAAGGTTTTTGGGTGGCTACTTTGCCAAGTAGAACCATTAGAGAGATTTTAATGCTTTTTGAGGGTTGTCTTCAGGGTCAGAGGACGTAATAATTACGCTCGTGGGCTTAGGATGGCAGTAGTGACGAATAGTGCCTGCTGCATGAACAGTTTGTTAGCAATTGGCTCTGTGTAGGGGGACTGATAGAGCTCCTTTAGCGCCATAGTAGCCGTAGATTCGATGGTATACAGCTTGAGAGTTTAGGCTAAGGGATCTTGAGGGTAAAGGATTCCTAGATTTAGGGCATTGGGCGCCTCATAGGAAATTCAGAGTCTGCAATACAGGAGGGACCCTAAACCCTAAACCCTAAACCCTGAACCCTAAACCCTAAACCCTAAACCCTAAACCGTATTGGAATTACAATAGGATAAGGCGTCAGGTATGTTGCTTGAAAAACTGGGACTACAATGACCAGAATTCTACATACTCAGAAGTCCATATTAAGATCCAAGAACGATGTTGGAAGTTTCTTGGAGGGTCGAGGCTTAATTCAAATCACAGGGGGGGGGGGGGGCGAAAACATGATCTGACACCGTTCTGCCTTCCGGGATTCGTTGTATCTTTGGCTCGAGGCTCCGGAAAACACCCTAAATCCTGAAACCCCGGAACCTTAAAGTTTAGGCCCTGCACCTTTAACCCTAAACCCTAAACCCCTAAACTTTCAAACCACTAAACCCTAAACCCTAAACCCCTAAACTCTTAAACCCCTAAACCCTAAACCCTAAACCCCTGAACTTTTCAACCCCTAAAACCCTAAACCCTAAACTGAACCAAAACAACAGCAGCCCAAGAAGAGCTTCGCGTGCAGCTGCGGCGCCAGGGTGCACCCAACAGTTCTCCAAGCCAGCCTCCCGAAACGCAGTCAGATTTTGCAGTAGGGGCCTTAATAATTCGAAGAGGGCTTTGGGTGTTCCTTTAATTTAACTGTGTTAAAGAGTTTCTGTTTCTAAAATGGCTGCTAAGCGCGTGAAAATTTAGAATAGGGTTTGGGTGTACAACAACAGAATCTTCACAATAAGGAACCCAATGGTTCTATATTACAAGGCGTTTTCATGGTTGTCTTGTAGGTCGGTTGCAAAGGCCTTGGGGTTTATGTTTCTGGAGGCTGCAGGTGTTGAAGGGTTTAACGGTTTAAGCTAACACGAGTTCAAAATTCAGGGCTTGGCAGTGTTTTCATTCAAAGGGCTTTGCATGAAGGGGCGCTCTCGGGACGTTCGTAGGAGCTTCTCTGTGGTTATATCCTGCTTGCTTATCGCGCGGTTGATGGGGCTCTTTAGGTGCTGCTCGTGGCCGCCGCATACGATTTATAGGTATTCGGACGTGCGGTATACGGAATTGGGGCCAGACTTCTGGCAGATTGTCAGACTTCCTTAAGCAAGAACCCTAAACCCTGAACCCTAAACCCCTAACCTAGCTGGCTCAGTTTTGGGGCTTTTGGTTTCGTAGCTACGGGGTTTGGGGCTTTCTGGCTTTGCGCTTTCGGATCGAGGCCCCAGACCCGGTACCGATAAACGATAACCTTAAACTTAAACCCTATAAACCCTCGAACGACAACCCTAAAACCTATCCCTGCGCTTTGGGGTTGTGGCGCCTGCTCTCCACAGTTGGGGCCAGCGGCAACTGCCTCGGCTGGAGTTCTGTGTTGCTGAAACTTCCTCCAAGCGCTCTTTTCCGGTTCTACAAGGATTCCTTTAAGGGTGCTTTTAAGGGTTCCTTTAAGGCTTAGCTGTTTAGGGGTTGGGGATTTCAGGTTGAAAGGCGCAGGGCGTCGGCCTAACTGTTCAGCGAGCGGCTTTTTGGTTGGTTTCAGGAGTTCAAGAGGTTTAGGGGTTTAGGTGGTGAGCCCTTAACAGAATCCGTAAAGGAGCCCTTAGAAGAGGCCTTAAAGGAACCTAAAAGGAACCCGAGCATCCCCCTTGAAGGAACCCGAAACCCCCTTTAGAGGAGCCCTTAACCCTAAACTTTAAACCCTAAACCCTAGGCCCTCGTCGCTGCCCTTAACCCTAAACCCTAAACTTTAAACCCTAAACCCTAAACTTTAAACCCTAAACCCTAAACCCTAAACTTTAAACCCTAAACCCTAAACTTTAAACCCTAAACCCTAAACTTTAAACCCTAAACCCTAAACCCTAAACTTTAAACCCTAAACCCTAAACCCTAGGCCCTGGTCGCTGCCGAGGGGCGCAGCAGCTCCAGGCCGAACTTCGGCAGGGATGGGAGCCTGGAGGTTCTTTTCTTGGGGTTCCTTTAAGGGAGCCTTCAAGGGTTCCGTTAAGGGTTCCTTTAAGGGTTCCTTTTAGGGCTCTTTAAAGGGGTTTCGGGTTTAGGGCGTGGGGCGAAGAGCCGGTAGGTTCTTTTGTTGGGCTCCTCTAAAAGGTTTTAGGGTTTAGGGTTTAGGGTTTAGGGTTTAGGCTGCTTTCAGGGCTTGCGAGGGTTCGTTCAAAACGGGTGTAGGGTTTTCAAAAGTTCCTTGAAGGGGGATTGGGGTTTTCAAGGGCTCCGTCAAAAGGGTTTCGGGTGTTTAAGGGTTCCGTCTGAGAGTGCAGGGTTTAAAGGTTTAGGACTTGAGGGCCGTTGATCTCGTCGCCCGACCTGTTGCCGTACACCGCTCTTCTGGTGATGCAACTGCGAGGTCGTAGCTTGTCTGCCTCGCTGCCTCGTGGTTGCTGTTTTGCGTGTTTTGCTTGTTTGATTTGCCCTGCACATCTATAGCAGATGTGTTTTTGGGGCATGCATGTAGCGTTCTGGACCTCTGGACCACATTGCGATGAGTGAGTGAGTGAGTGGTTGCCGGGGCTCCTTTACCGGCCCCTTTAGAGGGTTCCTTTCAGAGCTCCCGTAAGAGTTCTTGGGAGCATGGAGGTTCGTTCTATTTTGTGCGTTGAGAGTTTTTCTCTGCCACCAACGATGATGTAGAGGCCTGAGTAGTTAGAAGAGGGTATTGGGGCACGCCATACTATGCTTCCAATATGCAAGCCCAAGGAATACTATTACTAGTGATTGCGACACCTATGTAGCAGCATATCTTAATCGTCTTCTAGATCCTGGAACCCTGAGGATATATGTCTTGAAGACTCTCCAGGTCCCCACTCCTAAACTCTATTCTATACTGAACTTAGAACCCTAGCAAAAATTATGACTTTAGCTGTTTCTTAGGGATTATTATAACCAAAAATTAAAAACTGTTTCTAAGTACCCCTAAGTATTCGACTTGTCACCGGCCTGCTGTCAAGGTGGCGCACTTGGCGTAGCAGAGCCCTCCATGAAGCTCCTCACAAGCACTGCACGTGTACTAGGATACCCAGTAACCTAAGAATAAAAAGGCCTCTCTTTTTGGTATTGGGTAACTTTATAAGGAACCTAGGACTACAAAAAGGGAATAAGGGTACTACTGGGCATCCTAGTGTACTAAACCCTAAACCCCCTAAATCCTAAACCCTAAACCCTCAACCCCAACCCCTGAACCCTAATTCCTGAACAACAAGTGCCGATGCGTGTCTCTAGGAATCCTTATGATCAATATACCCTTACTTGTATGCACCAAAACCGCAACAGGTTCAGATACCCTGTTTGCGAGGCAAGTGTTGCACATGTTGGCTACGGCTTTAAAGGCCTGGGGGGGTTGATGTGTTCGGCGTTTAGGGTTGGAGGTGTAGGGCTTGCATTAGCTGAGGATGACCGGGTTCAGGACTCAGGGTGCAAGGGTTGTTGATGTTTGGGCATGGACAAACACCCCGAGCTCTTGTACGGTAGAAGCTTATGGTATGCAAATACTGAAGAAAGAACCACGTCTAGGATAACCCCGATGAGAATATGTAAGCCATGAAAAGCCGTCACTGAAGCCTAGGATTTTGCACATGTTGCCCAAGCCTGATTAGCGCTTCGAGGCCAATTCTTCGACGCGCTTGTGCAAATCCTGCACTCTGCTGCGTGCATTGGCTAGGAGAGTTGCTATCTATTCCTGAGCTGGTCCTGAACAGCACCGCTGTCACCACCCCACGAAGCCTCACCCCAGGTGACAATGGATCCATCGTCCAGTGTGGCAGCAAAAGCGAGCTCAGAGGCTTGGATCTGCTGTACATTCTTCAGCTGAGTCTGCACCGCGCTGCTATCAGCACCGAAAGGAGCATTACCCCAGGTCACGACGGATCCGTCGCCAAGAATGGCAGCAAAAGCACTGCCGGAGGCTTGGATCTGCAGCACATTCCTCAGCTGATCCTGCACAGCTCTGCTGTCTCCACCATGCTCAGCATCTCCCCAGGTCACGACGGATCCATTTTCAAGAATGGCAGCAAAGACGCCGCCCGAGGCTTGGATCTGCTGGACATTCTTCAGCTGATCTTGCACAGCACTACTGTCGCCGCCACCATCAGCATCACCCCAGGTCACAAGCGATCCATCATCAAGAATGGCAGCAAAAGCACGCCCAGAGGCTTGGATCTGCTGCACATTCTTCAGCTGACCCAGCACAGAACTGCTGTCGCCACCACCGCCAGCAGCACCCCAGGTCACAACTGATCCATCGGCAAGAACGGCGGCAAAAGCCTTGGTGGAGGCTCGGATCTTCTGCACATTCTTCAGCTGAGTCTGCACGGCGCTGCTGTCAGCACCGAACCCAGCATTACCCCAAGTCACGACGGATCCGTTGCAAAGACCGGCAGCAAAAGCGCCGTGAGAGGCTTGGATCTGCTGCACATTCTTAAGCTGAGTCTGCACAGCGCTGCTGTCGGCACCGAAATCATCATCACCCCAGGTCAAGACAGATCCGTCGTCCAGAATGGCAGCAAAAGCGCCACCACCAGAGGCAAGTATCTGCTGCACATTCTTTAGCTGCCCCTGCACAGCACTGCTGCCGGCACCGAATGCAGGATGACCCCAGGTCACAACGGATCCATCGTCCAGAATGGCAGCAAAAGCAGCTTCAGCGGCTTGAATCTGCTGCACATTCTTCAGCTGATCCTGCACAACACTGCTATCACCGCCATAGTCAGCATCACCCCAGGACACGACGGATCCATTTTCAAGAATGGCAGCAAAGGCGCCGCCCGAGGCTTGGGTCTGCCGGACATTCGCTGGTCTTGCGCAGCGCTGCTGTCGCCGCCACCATCAGCATCACCCCAGGTCACAAGCGATCCATCATCAAGAATGGCAGCAAACGCGACAGTAGAGGCTTGAACTTGAACCGTGTTGGCGCGCAACAAGGTCAGGGCATCACCAGTCTGCACCCTGGCTTTCTTTATCGGCACACATCCTTCCACGACGCATCCAGATGAATCCAGGAGCCGCCCTGTCCCGACCCCGAGTGCAATCTGTGCCCGTCGTTTCAACGTTCCCAGTGTCTCATCCAAGGCGGCTTGCACAGTGGCCTTCCTTCCACTGATCAGCCCAACTTCGACGTCAATCGACATGCTGCACACATGCAATATCTTTGGAAGTGAAACCCTGAACCCCAAACTCGAAAATTGCGAGTTTAATTTGGCAGCGTCGGGCCTTAAGCCCTCCGACCCTTCCTTGGTGCTTGCTTGCGCTGCTGTCCCAAATGAAGAAAGCCCTGACGAGGATCATGGCGAGAGCACACGTCCATCGAGAGATATCGAGAGTCTCACGGGTTTTTGAGCTAAGCGGTTTAAGGTTGGGGGCAATACTGGTGTACATGGTGTGCGTGTGCATGTGATAGTTTACAAGTTTACAGGGTCACGGAAAGGTGACCACGCCGTTAGCTGCCAGCAAGGGAATCCCAAACTGTCAAGCGCGAAGCGACCTCCGGCTGAGTCTTCTAGATGCCCATCTAGGTACGGTACTCTGGACGCTTCAGCAAGATGGTATGGAGGTCTGAACAGTACACCGTTGAAATCCCTGTAATTGTCCGAAAATATCACCAAAAAGCTTATTCTAAAGATCAAGTAGAACCGTTATGGAACCCTTACCTAACCCTAAACCCCAAACGCCAAACCCTGAAAAACCTGAATCCCTAAACCTAAGACCCACCTTACTTAATCATTCGGCTGTCAAAAACCAAGCACAGTAAACTCTAAACCTTAAACTCCGAACTAACAATATTAAACTAGGTTGGCCCTTTAACCTCTCAGACATACTCGTAAATAGCTTTGCGTTCCAAAACCCTACCTATTTAAAACCCAAACCCACACTTGCGGCTTTCCGAAATCCCACAGTCCTGGTCAGAGGAGCCTTGGTCGAGAAGTCGGCTTGACTTTCGGGGTTTAAATGGGCTTAGGGTGACAGCCTTGAGGTACAACGCGATCGATAGATTAGAGCTATAAACCTTTGCTCTCCAAAAACAAGACGTTAAGAACCCTAAACCCTAAACCCTAAACCCTAAAACCTTTTGTAACTATCATGAAGCACCCTTTCTCCAGAACGCGCCGGCTCATAGTTAAGGATTGAGGGTTACGCGATATCAACGTGTGTCACAAGACTTGTTCAGCAGCTTACGGGTAGGTAGGGTTTAGGGTTTAGGGTTTAAGGTTTAGGGTTTCTATCTGTAGCAGACTTGGCAGGCAGGGCGTACTGCAGCCGCAAAAGAATGTTGCAAACAGGGGGCTGCCCTGCTGAACTGGACAAGGACCTCAAGCAGTTGAGAAAGTGAGAGGAACTGGCGGAGCATCAGAATCTTACCCCGGTTAACGCGCCGCCAGGCCTGCATGCGTGTCCCTGGCATGTTTCGGCTTGGCGGATATTGCCAGTTCGACCTTGACGTCCTTGCCTGTAGCCTCACAGGAAACTTAGTGCATGCGGCCGGCAAAAACCAAAACTCGAATGCGCGCATTCCGACCACCACGGAGAGCACTTCCGCCTCGTTGGGCAAGAAAGCCAACGTGACCGCCTGCTTGTCTTTCCTCTTGTGTCCACCAAGCAAGGCTTGGCGGACGAAAAACGACTCAAGACTTCCGATGATGCAAAGATCGCAAGTAAATCTCCAGCACTGGGGAGATGCCAACGCGACGGGCCTGCATGCCTAAGTTGAACACCGAGCTGATAAAGTCCAGCGTCAGCACAGGCCGTGGCGAGGCCCGTTTTGAATCTACAGATGGGCGATAAGGGATTGTAGCTAGAGTCGGCTGCAGCAAACGTCGATGCAAGCAGGCCCACGGCACCTACTTGCACACTCAAAGAGAACAATGAGTCAAGGCAAGCTCGTAGTGCAGAGCAAATCGCTCTGTTGCAATTCGTTTGCAACTGCAAGTCGGGGCTAAGCAGGGACGGTGGGGTGAGGCCGAACACAAGAGAGTGCGGCAAAGAACCAAAGCGTGAGAATCCGACTACGTGCCTGGACATCAAGGGGTTTCGCCAGCGTCAGCAGAAGATCAAGGCCAGGAAATCGCGAGCTGCTCGAACGCTCACACATGTTCCCGCAAAACATCTCCTCTTGGATCGGCAACGAAGTCAAACGAAGTTGTCAACTGTTCGCTTTTCCGCCTGCCCGTGTTTAGGGAACGTCCGAAGCGTGTGCGGATTGCAAGTTGAACATCTGCCACCTGATCGGTTTAGGGTTTAGGGTTTAGGGTTTAGGATTTAGGGTTTAGGGTTTAGGGTTTAGGGTTTAGGGTTTAGGGTTTGGGGTTTAGGGTTTAGGGTTTAGGGCTTAGTGATGATCGGTGCACAAGATCATCACTGTCTGGGCTTGGCATCGCACAGCAGTTCTACAGGGAGCAACTCCGAATTGTCGGGCCAAGGTTTATATGGGAGCTTCCGAAAACAGGGGATCCGAATATAGTACCCTAAAGGGCTTAGGGTTTAGGGTTTAGGGTTTAGGATTTAGGGTTTAGGGTTTAGGGTTTAGGGTTTAGTAAATAGTAGGATCCTTATCATGAGGACCCCAAGATAGGGTAGCCCTAGTTTTCGGAAACTCCTACATGGGAACCATTAACCTTCCAGACTTCCCGCAACGTTGCTTCTCCGGCAGCATGCCGGATCCCGGTGCAAACCAGGATCCCCATCAAAATCATATAAACCAAAACATCCGAAAGCAGACCCGAATTTGAAGAACCAACCCAAAACCCAAATCAGAGATCACAACAGGTGAGCCCTCATGGCCTTATCAGGAAATCAGCCAAAATCATAGACCCTGAGCCCGACTTACCCCAAGAACGAAACGTTCAACCAGCCCGAAACCCCGTCTTGCCCGTGACCCAGCAGCAATAGGAACGCTAACCAGCGCGAGACTTGACAAAAACGCACCGACCAGACCAAACGCCACAGAGTCCATCTAGAACTGAACGCACAGAGCCCCAAGCATCTCAGGATCCCCGGCCGTTGAACCTCAAAACTCTAAGACCCCAACAGGCTCCAAGGCCTGAAGCAGTACACTATGAAAACCAAACCCTTAGGGCTTTAGGGCTTTAGGGGTTTAGGGTTTAGGGTTTAGGATAGGGCTTGAGGGCTTTAGGGGTTTAGGGTTTAGGGTTTAGGATAGGGCTGTAGGGGTTTAGGGGTTGTTTAGGGGCCTAGGGGTTTAGAGGTTCAGGGTTTAGGGTAAACCCCGCAAAACCCCGTCCTCGAATCCTGAAGCCCCCAAGCCCTAAGCCCTTAAACCTTAACACATGGGAGTTTCCGAAAATGGGGGACCCCAATATAGCACCCTAAGTAGCAGGATCCTCAACATAAGGACCCCAAAATAAGGTACCCCGAATTTTCGGACACTCTAGACCCTAAACCCTATAGATCCCTTATAGGAACCCTTAAAGAAACCCTTATAGATCCCTTTAAAGGAACCCCTAATTTTTTTCGGAAACTCCCACATGCCCCTTGAGCGACTCGGATCCTGGGGCTTAGGGGTCCCGTCCCCAAAATCGCCACAGAGGCCTCCGACAGTTAAGTCCTTCGGGTTTAAGGCCTCAAGGTTTTGGGGCCGGTTCACGGTTTAAGGTTTAGGGGTTTAGGGGTTTAGGGGTTGGGGTTTTGGGTTTAAGGTGTAGGGGTTTAGGGGTTAGGGGGTAGGGGTTTAGGCGTTTAGGGTCTAGGGGTTTAGGGGTTTAGGGGTTTAGGGTTAGAGAATCGTTGTCAGGGATTCGACCTACGAAAAAGCCTTGATGGTGTATGGATGCTGGGGTATCCAGGTGGCATATGGGCGGTTGTCAAAATTAGCGGTCCCTTTTTGGATCCTCAATATAATACGGCACCTATGATTTAGGGTACCCATAAACCCTAAACCCTAAACCCCAAAAAGGGACCCTAATTTTGACAACCCCCCCCCCATATAATGGTCTTTGAGGCACCCCTTGAGCTCCAGCTGAGGATGGCACAAGGGTCCTTGTCATTCTTGGCGACCTCTTTTGCGTTTCAAGCGAGGTCTTGGGATGTAATATAGAGGCCTATTTTAAAGGGGTATATTGTACCACGGTTGCCATAGTTATAATAAGGAACCCCAAAATAGTACAGGTGATTATTATTTTGGCCCCTATAGTAGGTTTGAGGGCCTTGAGTGTTGAGGTCATCGGGTGCTTCACTGCTTCTCGCTGTCATTCACAGGTTGTGCAAGGCATGAATAGGATTTGAGGCTCGGGTTGTGGTTTTGCGGCTGAGGGTTTCGGACTGTATTATCTTAAATGTTAGGCCGTAGCTGCAAAGCCAAACCAGAGACCCTCAGCCCCATACCCTTAAGGGTCTGCGGGTTTTGGGTTTCCGGGGAGGACGAAGTAACTCCCGATCGCCAGTGCAGTCATGACTTCGGAGCACGGCGCTTGGTCTTACGAGCTCCGTTTGGGGAATGGGGGTTTAGGTTTAGGGATTTAGGGTTTAGGATTTAGGGTTAAGGATTTAGGGCCTGGGCTACTTCTGCACCCACGGTTCGTCGAACAAGGCACGCGGGGCTGGCCCTGTGAAAGTGAATCGCCCGTCGACTTCGTGCAACTCTCTGGCAGCCACGGTTTAGGGGTTTACGGGTTTAGGGTTTAGGGTTTAGGGTTTAGGGTTTAGGGTTTAGGGTTTAGGGTTTAGGGTTTAGGGTTTAGGGCTTCGGGTTCGAAGAAGATTGCATGTGCAGGCGAAAGAGGATCTCGATCCTTTAGCAGTCGAGGCACAGCTAGAAGCTCTTGTTCACTGCACCGGGCCCGCCCAGGAGCGGCAAGTGGAGCAAAGAATTCCCGTGACTAAACCCTAAACCCTGAAACCCTGAAATCCCTGAAATCCCGAAAACCTGAAACCCCAACAACCCTGAAACCCTGAAATCCCGAAACCCTGAAACCCTCAAACCAAGGAAACCGCCTTCCTTGTAGGAACTGAAACCAAAGGGCTCCAAGGAGCTTTAAAGGACTCGAAGAGGTCTGAATCAACGGCTTCCGGGTGGCTAAAGCTTAGAAATGATTTGGGGTTTGGGGGTTAAAGTTTAGGGCTTAAGGTGGGGTTTAGGGCTTCAGGTTTATGGTAGGTTCTTTGGTTCAGGTGCCCTTTTTCACCGTTGCAAGGCAGAGCATGCTTACTGAAGATTGAGGGTTTTAGGTTTAGGTTCCGGGTTTAGGGGGTCGGATTTTCGCGTGCGGGCTTTGGTGTTTCGGGTGTAGGGTCGAGGATGCACGCTTTGGGGTTTAAGTCTTCGGGCTAATGCCCAGGGCCTGGGGTTCAGGGTTTAGGATTTGGGAGTTTCCGAAAATTAGGGGGGTACCTTATCTTGGGGTCCTGATGATAAGGATCCTACTATTTAGGGTGCTGTATTAGGGTCCCTTGTTTTCGGAAACTCCCATTTAGGGCTGAGGGTTATTTTCAGAGGGGTTCCCAAAGTAGGGACCATCGCTCCAGGCCATTGAAGCCCAAATCCCGTCACCACCAAAGTTAGGGCTTCAGGTTTGGGTTCAAGGTTGAAGGTTTAGGGTTTGTGGTTTAGGGTGTGGGGTTTACGGTTTAAGGTATCGACTTCAGGATCTAGACCTGCTCTCAAACAGAACTAAACCCTAAAACCCATGTCGCACATGAAGTGAGCTTGAAAGCCAAGGCCTTAACCCTAAACTCCTAGACCTTAAACCCCTAAACTCTAAACCCTAAACCCCCCCTCATTTCAGCCTCCGGTGCAAGGGCAGACTCCTCCGGATCGTCCTTGGGTTGGCTGAGGAGTCGGGTTCAGGGGCTTAGGGTTTACAGGGCTTCGGGGTTTCGGGTTTGTGGGTCTGTCGACTTAGAGCTTTGGAGTCTTGCGGTGCTCTTCCGGTTTTGGCTTTTGTGCTAGGGCTTAGGGATTTCTTGGTTTAGGGATTTCATGTTTAGGGTACAAAGTTTTCTGTGCTATGGTTCAATCACCAAGGGGCTTTTATTCTGGGGATTGGAGTCTGAGGAATTCTTTCGCAAAACTAGGGCCGGGGTTTTGGGGATCTGAATCGGGGTTCTGGGTTCTGGGTTCTTAGGGTCGGGGTTTTATGGCTCGGGGTTACGGGGGTATGGGCTGTGAGAACCTGAATCGAGCAATATGCCTGAAACACCCTGATATCCAACGGTAAAAGAGGGCACCCTTAATAAGGACCCCTAGGTATATACCCTTAATAGAGCTATTATATTCCATTATATAGTCCATTATAGGGTAGGGGTCCCCATTAAGGGTCCCTCCTTTTCCCCTTTGATGATATCAATCGTAGTGGGTGAGGCTCGGCAAGTTTGAGGTGAAACCCCGTGAAACCCCGAAACCCCTAAGCCCCAAGGCAGGGCTTGCATTCGAGGCTCACAAGTTTGGGCTTTACACCTTAGGCCTTTAGTCCCGCACAGAAAACTACAGCCTGAAACCTAAAGTTTACGGGTTTAGGGTTTTAGGGTTTGGGATTTAGGGTTTCGTAGCTTTAAGACGAACCCCCAAGCCGAGCCGCCCAAATCCGATGCAGAAGCCCTAAACCCTAAACCCTCCCAGAGCCCAGATCCGAAACAGTATATCCTAAACCCCAACCCCTAAACCCTACATTTCGAAACGGGCTGAGGCTTCGACTGTGGTGGTCGTGGTCGTCGTGGGCATGGCTGCGGCTGGGGCCACGACGGCCGCCTTGGCAAAGCCATAAAGGGCTCTTGTAAAGGGTCCTCACAAGGATGCCTTAAAGGACCGCGTAACGGACGCTACGGGACCCCATAAAGGATCTACGAGGTATCTACCAGAAGGGCTTCGAGTTTCGGGTTGAGGGTTTAGCGTCCCTGGTTTAAGATTGCAGGGCTTCGGGTTGAAGGATTTAGGCTGTTGGCCACAATGGTTTAGGACTGAGATGCTACGTTTGCATTAGGTTTAGGGCTATATGGCTGAAGGCGAAAAGGTTATATCATTTCGTGCTTGGGGATGTGGGGAGGGTACTACAGGTTGAAAGTTTCGTATTGAGGGTTTCAGGTCTTGTGGCACGGGAGAGTGTGTGTGTGTGTGTCCTAGAGTGGCTACATGGTGTGGGGCATGGGTACTGAGAGGCATGTGTCACAACAGCAGGCTTGGCTTGACAGATGGTCCCGGAGACTGGCACATCCTTGAAATAATGCACACAATAAACGCGAACCTGTATTTACGGGATATTCCTTTCCGAGTCCGCACCAACTCATTCCTACAACGTGACTCCTGACAGAGCAACAATCACAAACCCCAAAACCAAAATCCCTGACATTACAAACGCTCCGACGCCGTGTTCACGCGTGCGCGGCAGAACGGGCAAGCGTTTGTGCTGTAAAAACCACTACAAACACAACATGTTCGTTGATGTTCTGGGTGCGGAAATGACACATGTTTGCTGAAAAACGTGCTAAAAAATCTAAAAATTGCTGTTTTGCACGTGCTAGCAAAACTATTTTGAAGCCACGACGATGCCAACACTGTGTGCTTTGTTCGGCCTACTCATGGACGGAGCTTTGTCATGAAGCGTCAAAAAACTCGAGGAATGTGCGGTACGTTACTAGAACAAGAAAAATCGAGACAGTGGCAAAAAAAAGAAATATGTAGGATCATTTCGCCAGGTAAAACACAGGTCGCGGAGGTCTCTGAGTACATGCGGAGGTCGGAGCTATCTCAGGAAGTGTCAAAAACCCGAGTGGCTTCCTAATTTTATTTGATTGCAAGCGGTTGTTGCAGGTACGCAGACGGCGAATCGCAGATGTTTAAACTGTTTCTTGAGTGACATCGATTATGGTGTCTTTTAAAGCCGTGTCAAGCGTGGCATTTTATGATGTCGATGTGTTTGCTTGTAGTTTCTACTTGTTGTTTTCTGGTTTGCGTGTTTTTTGCGTTTTGTGGAAGCGTTTCAGCGTGAGGGGAGCGTTGGACAGGGAAACATCGTGTTGTCCCAAACCCCTCGAAGTGCAATAACCCTGCGTGCACCGGTAGACCCCAATCCCGAAATCAGAAAATCATAAAAACCGAGGAGAAAGGCTCTTAAGACCTACTGCAAACTGCGCGTGAACAAGGCTTCGAAAAATAGGAACCCCTACAGAATGAACTCCAAAAAAAAAGGCTGGGCCCCCAAGCCTCGACTATAGATCCGCTATAGGTCCTTGATAGAACCTCATATAAAGAAACCCTGTTGTTCCGAAATCCCAAACCCTAAACCCTAAACCCCAAACCATAAACACGAAACCCTAGTCCCCAAAACACCTGTGGCTTTTTAGGCTCGAAATCCTGGGAACAGGAGCGGTGCTTTGGCCTGCGTTCCTTCCGACTCGGCGGTGAAACGTGGGGATTGCTCTAAGCCCTAAACCTTACATAAATCCTACCAATCGGGGGCTTTGGTTCTTGGCGGTCGTTCCTCGAAGCGTTCGATAAGGTTTTGGGCCGATTCAGGGTTTAAGGTTTCGGGGTTTAGGGTTTAGGTTTTTTTTTAAGCTCCTTTTTCCAGGGGAGGGTTTAGGTTTAGGGTTTAGGGTCTAGGGTGGGCTTCTGATTTAGAGAGTTGAGGTTGAAGGGTTTAGGGTTGCGGGCTTAGGTGAATAGACCACCCGAAGAGACGAACAAGATTAGACGGCCAAAGTAATGTACTGCAGAAATAAGTCTAAATTTTGCTGCTGGGCTTATAGGGTTTGAGGGTTTGGGGCGTAGAGGCTCCCCAGAAATAATGGTCTGTTGTGAGCATCTTCTTCGGAGGGTTTAGGGTTACTCTAGGAGCCTTCATAATTAGAATAGGGTTTGGGTGCACATTAAACTATAATCATAATAAGAAACCCCCACAATAGCACAGCTAATTATTCAGGCCCCTATAGCAGGGTTCTCATGCTTGGGAGGGGCCCCTAAAATCTCATCGGGGCGACTCTTATGGCAGGGTTAGTCCAGCGCTCAGGGTTTGATCAAATCTTCTAGTGGAAGCCGGAAAGTTGGAGCAGCGTTCCCCTTCATGCCCTTAAGGTGAGGTAGAGGCGATCCCAGCACTAATCATCCTAAGTCCATGTTCCAACCTTCTCGAGGAATTCACTATATCAGTCACGGCAGGCCCTAAATCCTAGTCCCATTCTGGTATGAACTTGGATCTCAAGATTTCGGATGTCGGGTGCGAGAGTCTGCTAGTGGCCCAGAATCCTTAAAGAAAAGAGCACAAAGTCCTGTATGTCAAGACGCACATCATCCTTTCCGATTTCCGGTATAGGGACGAGAATCTAGGGTTTGGAGTTTAGGGCTTTGCAGCTCGATCCCCACATGATCCTGTGGATCCGTGCATCAATGCGGCCAGCTGGACTCTCTTTGAGAGACGACGATGGCCAGCAGGGACTCAATGGTACTAATTCTGTCACTACGACTGTGTGTTCACACAAGCTAGGGTATTGGGCTAAGCCTGACGATAATCAAGCTACTGTAGCAATGATACCAAAAATGTTTGCAAATCATGGTGTGTGGTCAGCAATACTAGCATACTAACAACAAAATCATACCACGAAGATCAGAATGATGCGCTTCATAGCGATAGCAGCTATCAACTCGGTCACTTCTTAGGTTTCTTCTTCTTGCCTGCCCACTTGTCGCCAGTCCACCACTGGAGCGCACCTGAACACCAAACACGAAGGGTTTAGGGCAGGGTCAGGCTTTTTGAGGAGTAGCCTTTTAGGGTTAAGGGTTTAGGGTTCACCTTCAGACCAAAGACGGCGCGGACGTTTTTCGGGCTCAGGGTAGATGACCTTGAGAAAGGTTGTCGCTGAGTTACTATGGGCGGAGTTTCTATGCGGCTGTACACAGGCTGCATAAAAGGGGCGTTATAGCGTGCATGAGGGTGTTGTAAGGCTCACCTCAGACCCGAAGCCCTTTACTCCAAAGCCAAACCCCAAACCCTGAACCGCAAACTGAAAGGGTACCAGGGTTAAGGGTTCTGATTTCCTGTCTAGGATTCACGGCCCAGACTCAGCCATGGAGGGGGTAAGTAAGAGTCTTGCTCCTGTAATCAATAACCGAGCCGTAAAAGGCTCGCACGCTCAAAGAGTACACCAAACACCTAAGCCATCACAGGTTTTGAAGGTTCTGCCCATGGATCTAGCACAATGCAACCATCTTGAGAAGTCTTCTCTTCGCAGCAAATATTGTGCCGGTGAAGTGTGGGCTTCTAAAGTGAGCCCTGGCTCCGTAATACAAGCGCCGTCATAATTTGCTAAGCTTCGAGGTATACAAGTATAAGGCCAGTGACTATTACAACAAGCAACCTTGAGGAACAAGATTAGCTGAGTTGCTGAGCTCATGAGCCCCAGAATTTCTGCTTTATAGTGGGTGTATCCACTCAGCTGCTAAGTTAGGAAATAAATAAATGGGCTAAACCGGATCCAAACGCCCTAACAAAAAGTCGATGGTCTCTGCCTTTAGACTTTTCATGAGCCTTAGTCACTTTCGCAACGGGCAAGAGCATCTCACAAAACAGAAATAATGAACTATGTGATTTCAGAAATGCTGCAAGTTCCAATCTGAAAGAACCCACAACATAAAAAAAAAAAAACAAACACACAGCAACAAAGTATTGAAACAAATTCTGTGTATGTGCCTGCGCTATGTGTACACATTTATCCTTTTACTGAAGCAAGTATGTACATGCAATTTGTATATGTATGTCTGTATACATATATGTGCATTTTCTACATACATATGACATATGGGTGGTTGTCAAAATTAAGGTCCCTTTTTGGGTACCCTAAAAAAAGGTGCTGTATTACAGTAGGGACCCAAAAAGGGACCATAATTTTGACAACCACCCATATTATCCTAAACCTTAGGCTTGAATAACCTACATACATAAGACTTCAAACGAAACCTTAAATAGTAGGATCCTTCTTGTAAGGACCCCAAATAAGGTACCCCTAATTTTCCGAAGCTCTAAACCCTAAACCCTATAGATCCCTTATAGGAACCCTTAAAGAAACCCTTATAGATCCCTTTAAAGGAACCCCTAATTTTTTTCGGAAACTCCCATATGACATGTACATAAGACTTCAAAGTAAAGCGCTGTTTCGAACCCCCGAGGCGCCCTTGTCCCCTTTGCCGCCGACAGCTTTCTGTATCTCGGCCTCTATGGGTCCGATCCTGTGGGCTGTTTGGGCGTAGGGCTTAGGGTTTAGGGATTAGGATTTAGAGTTTAGGGTTTAGGGGTTTAGGGCTTAGAGTTTAGGGCTTCGGGCTTAGGGTTTAGGGATCCTGTGGGCTGTTTGGGGGTACAGTATCCCTTAATTAAGGAATATTCCTTAAATTATAGTAGGATCCCTAATATGATTTAAGGAATATTCCTTAAATTATAGTAGGATCCCTAATATGATTTAAGGAATATTCCTTAAGTAAGGGATGTTGGAGTCTCTGGGTGTTTGGAGGTACAGTAGAAGCCCAAAAGTTGGAAACCCAATAGCCTCAATCCTAAAGAGCAATGTATAGGGAATCGCAGCACTAAGTGTCCTTAATCCGGTTTCCAACTTTTTGGGGTTTACTGTAGGGCTTTAGGTTTGGGTTTAGGGTTCAGGGCGCCTCTTTACCAACTCGCAGGCTGAAGATTTCAGAGTTTGGGGTTTCTTGAGTTCAGGAGTTTGGAGTTTTGGGTTTAGGGTTTAGAGATCAGGGCCTAGAGTTCAGCGCTTTTCCGCTTTAGGGTTTAGGGTCTAGGGGTTTAGGGATTGGGGCTCCGTGATGGGATCCCCTAGAGGTTCCCTCACGGATTCCTTTGAGGATTGCATGAATGTTTAAGGGTCTTACCTTTGGTTAGTAGGGAATGAAGGAATGGGTACTATTATACTATATATTACTATCATTCCTTCATTCCCTACTAACCAAAGGTAAGGGGTTCCTCCTAGGGATCATCTGGGCTCATCGAGAATTGCCATGCGCAAGGACCTTCTTTAGAGGGCAGGATCTGGGGTTTTGTCGGTGGGGGGGGGGGGTGCACTTTGGTTGCGAAAGGCTTTAAGGCTTTAAGTCAAGGTCGTTGCCGTTCGACGAAGTGAATGACATTGAAACAACCGATAGAACAGCAATAGATGCTCAATGACTCAACGGCCACGAGATGATGATAATGATACCAATGCGCCTCCCTAAACTCTACGCCTAACACCCTGAAGCTCCAAAACCAAAGCAATGCCAAGGATAGGAGCTAAGGGACTCTATGTACTAGAGTCCTTAGAAACAGGAGAGCCAATGCAACAAGTAAGACATCCCATATGCAGATCAACAGTAAGCGCTATAGAAAGCCATAGAAACGGCTGTCATGGCACTTCGCGGAGTACTAAGACTAACGAAACTGAAGATGGATACAACTGTGAAATATAGCAACAACGATAGCGAAATCGTGGTATGGATGGTATCAAGGCACAGTGCTAATAGGAACTGTAACCGAAACCATGGACATGACAACAGTAAAAAAGATGAGACAGAAATGCGCAGCAAAGGGAAGACCAGAGCCCATCTGCAGGTAAAGCTTTGGCTGTTCGGTGGTTTACCAGAACCTACTTTTTGTAGGGTCCGTGTAAATCCCATATTACGGCTTATAATAAGAACCTACAAAAAAGTAGGTTTTACGGTTGACAATATATAAACCCTGCATTGCCCATAATAAGGAATATAACATAATTCACATAGTTTCGGGTCCTTCAGGTAATGCAGGATTTATACCATCAACCCTAAACCCTAAAAACCCCCTTTAGATCCCTTAAAAGGATTCCCTTAAAGGTACCCCCTATAGATCCCTTTAAAGGGAACCCTAGGGGATTTATTCAACCGTAGCAGGTCTAGGTACAGATTCAAAGCCATAGACCTGGAAGCCGCCTACAACACGATACCCAAAAACCCCTTAATTAAGGAATATTCCTTCAATTATAGTAGGATCCCTAATATGATTTAAGGAATATTCCTTAAATTATAGTAGGATCCTTAATATGATTTAAGGTCTATTCCTTGATTAAGGGATTTTGGAAGGTCTGGGTAAGTGCCCACAAACTGTTGGAAACGAATATCGGGGCCCTAATAAGTAGAACAGAGTTTGGGGGCCCGTTAAGCTATGTAATAGTAATGAGGAACCCCCCCCCCCATAGTATAGGCAATTATTAAAGCCCCAACAGTATCAAAGTGCAGAAACAGCCTCTAAGACTCTACAGACTCTCCGGAGCCGCCCATGTTCCACAAGCACAAAGCATGATAGTTGGAGCTATTGAAGGTTCAGTTCTTTAAAGTCTTTAAGGACATTGAGCTTGGGATTTAAATAAACACAGCTTGGGAAGTAAACCCCTACACCCGAAATTGTCAGGCAGGTCTGTCCTGGCCACCGTATTCTTGGCCACTGGGGCCAGGAGCTTGTGTGTCAGGCACAGCTTTTCTTCCTCGTGGAAGTTAAGAGATCGACCCGTTGGTCGATGTTTTTGGGTTTGCGGTTTAGACCCTAAACTCTAAACCACTAAACCCTAAACCCTAAACCCCTAAACCCTAAACCCTAAACCCTAGACTCTAAACCACTAAACCCTACACCCTAAACCCAGGGCTTAGAGTTGGGGTTCTTGCGCTTATGATGAAGGTTAAGGCTTCGAGTAAGTGTGAGCCACATCTGCACAGCTATGGGGTTCTCCAATATTGCGCGGTGCAGGGTTTAGGGTTTAGGGTTTAAGGCTTAGGGTGTAATTATGAGATTATTGCTGATATTTATATGATATTGCTATAAAGATTAGTGTTATGGCTCCTGCATTGCTACTTCTATGGTATGATGACTTAACTCTTGCCATTTGGCGTGTTGTTGACATTTGCATTGTTATTGATATATGATTATGGATTCATGTTACTAATGCTGCTGTCACTGTTGACTTTGTGTTGTTATCTTTATTCGGGGAGCAGCATAAACCTCACACAACCATATCTTTACTGGTGGGGTTGTTCCAGGGTGTAGCGCTCAGGCGGTTCAGGGTTTGGATCTTGGTAGGCAACCACGGAATGACCTAGCAGAATACACTGTTCCTGAGTTGCTTTTGGGAACGATAGTCTATCGAATATATATATATATATATATGTATATATGTATAGATTCCTTGGTTGATTCCCTACAAACACCTACAAGCATAGCTTCGGTATCCCATGAACAGAACCTCTGCCCAATCAAAGAGCACCAAAAACCATGGACTCTTCGATCGACAAAGCCCAAACCCCAAACCCGAAATCGAGCCTTGGGTTTAGAGTTTAGGGTTTTGGGTTTTGGGTTTAGGGTTTAGGGAAAACCGTGAACCCTGATGCAAGCGTGAACCGAAAACGCGATGTTAAAAACATCAAGGTGTTAAACTCAAACCAAAAACAGCCCTGAAATCCTAAAGCCTTCAAAATCCCCCTGTGAACCCCAACTTGGGAGCCTGACCGTAGCAGGCCTACAATCGCAACCCTTGCGGGAATCCTTTAGACAACCCGCAGCATGTCCTGATCTTCCCAGCTCACGTCCGCGAAGATCACACACTTGCCTTCCTCCAGCATTACTGATGGACAGAATCCTGCATTACCCATTGTAAGGAATATACCATCATTCCCATAATTCAGGGTCCAAAAGGTCATGCAGGATTTTGTCCATCAACAGTACGGATGATTCGTGCCGAGGTTGCGTATACTGTACCTTAAGTCTATGAGGATGATCTTCGATTTCCGGCTTCTACTTAAAGGGCTAAGTAGGGTTGTATGAGGGGTGGTATAAGGGTTTCATAAGAGTCACTGTAACAAGAGTTGTTTAACGGCTCCTCATCGAGGATTTATCATTCTGGGTCTTGGGTATTGTGGTTGCGGGGGTATGCCCTAGGGCCCTAGGGCCATTGAATTTGGTTTGAGGAATCAGGTCTAGGGCCTCGTCTCATAAGATTAGTGGCTAGGAGAATTGGGCTTCTAAATCTTGGGGTTTAGGACAAAGGGATTCGGGATTTGGGCGATAGGCTTCGGGTTTTAGGAGTTTCGGGCTTCGGGGTTTGAGGGTTTAGGGTTTAGCGTTTAGGGTGTAGGGAAATACTAGACCCACAGGAACAAAAAGGGTGCCCTTTTTTGGTCTAAAGGGGCGTATAAGGGAACCTGAACCCTAAAAAAAGGGAATAAGGGCCTACTCTAGGTCCGAGAATAGGGGTTCAGACACAAAGGTTTGGCATCCGCCGTCAGGGGCCAGGGTCACAGCATGCAGACAGCAGCCCATTCAGTTCGCTTGGCGCACTCTCGGAATGTTGGGAGCCTTGACCCTAAACCTTATAACCCCAAACTGTAATTAAACCCTGTAACAGGTCGGATGAAGTAGCAATAGCATTCCGAAGTTTCCTCAATGTGGGTGCTTCGCTGAATTTAAAGCACCCTCTTTGGTTCCCCAAAGTTGCACGGCGCCATTTCAAGACGGACCCTAAAAGGGACACTAATCTAAAGAACTACATATCTAGCTATAGTTACTATAGTGTAGAGACCCTGTGGTTTATTGACCCCGGCACCCATACAATTGGTTTAAAAGCACGCGTGCAACTTCACGACTCCTTCGAACTGCCACAAACAACACCCACAAGCACCCCTCCCCAAAATCTAAACGCTTAAGCCTTAGTTTGACTCTGCACCCAAACTCGGTAACTTCCTGGAAAGACAAACCACCCAATAGAGGGAACTTAAGCACTACATGTTACAGCTCAGGTTTAGGATTGTTACCTTTGAGAAAACTGGTGGATCTTTTCGCCGACTGCGAAGCTATCTGAATATGACTCAAGGGCCCTAACGGCAGCGGGAAATATATACAGTTAACACATGCATGTCATGGCCATGGCTTCCTGTACATGTACAACAGAGGGTGCATTCACACTCAACCTGTTCTCATGCCATGACATCGAGGAAAATCTAAATTAACCACATGAGGTACAATAGGCATTGTCCTCCGGAAGTGGTGTCTGCATGCTACCCTAGCACCGACTCAGCTACTATGGTACATACAACGTATGCCCACGATTGTAGCGTCTGCAATCTACGTCTACAGCTTAGCTCGACTAATACTGTACTCACCAGATTCAATTACCTTTATGATGAAATCCGGTTTCATGGACTTTGTGAAACAATCAGCGGCTTGAGTGGCTGTATCGACCCAGTCCACTCTATCTCCACCCGCTGGGTAGGCCTCAACCGTGCGCTTGCCGTCTTCTGTAAAGATAGACTGGCGAAGAGCGCTAAGCTCGATTTGCAATCGTTTGTCTTGCACACGGGACGGAGCCTCCGTGTTGAGGTGATCGGCTAAGCTGCGGCAGTCCGTCAGCGCTATGTGCGGAACCTGTGTTCTCGCACGAAGTTCCCAATCGGGACCACTACTACCGAATCCGTAGATTTCGGCTAGGGCTGCTCTTATGCGATCCCCTGCCTCTTGGGCACTTTGGAGTGCGTAAGTCTCAGCCTGAAGAGTTGCTCTGCATACTCTTTTGATTGTGGTGGATGAGAACGACACGATCATTGTGTCGTAACGACTACAATTTGGATCGCGAAGCTGGGCAGCTGGAGCGAGAAAATGGATCCGTCCTTGTTGTGATCGGTCTCCCTTTTCACCCGCGAAGCTAGCGTCTGAGGCTGTCAGTACGCCCAGGCTCTCGAAATCAAAAGCACCATTTTTGTATCTTAACTTAAGGTCGCGACCCTTTAAGGCAAGTTCTAGGACCTTATTAGCCTCATGAAGAGTGCTAACAGTTGCACCTTTTATCGAGCTCTGAAGCTTCGATACGCGGTATAGGATATCTGGCCTAGCCTGCCTAGAAATCCACGAAAGGCTGCCGACTACAGAACGTAGTTGACGTTCTTCACCTCGGTCAATAAGATCCGAGTGTTTCCTTCCTGCCTTGACATCAATGTAGGTGATCTTGTTCGTGTTATCGGTAACGTCGATTAACACGTCCTTTCCAGATATGTCGAATTGCTTACCGCAGAAGCGTAGTCTTCCCGACTCGCGGCGGCCTACTTCGAACTTCTTTAGGAGCTTATCTATGATAGTTCCGCCCTTGCCTATCGATGCCCATAAAAAGTCATCGACATGTGTTGTCAAGACACAGACTACTTTTCCGGCGGCGCGGTAAAAGTAAAATGCAGGGAAAATCCTGCTTACCTGGAAGCCGACTTCACGTGCTTCTCGGTCGACTTTCCTCCAAAATCCTCTGCCGCTATCGCAGAGTCCGTATACCGGTACTCTGATCAGGAGCATCGCTTCCGGATCTACTCCTGGAAGTCCTCCGCCAGGTTGTCTCATAAGTACAACCCTGTCTATTGGCTCGGCCTGAAAGTAGGCGTTGCGAATATCTGACGATTCTACAGGGACTCCATTGGATGCGGCGAACGCTGATACTAGGCCATGCGTTTCGAGGTCTGAGGTTGGCGCGTCCGTGCGAACCTCTGTGGAATCTTCAAAATTTCCACAGGACACCAGTCTGGATTTGAACTCAGGTTCATAATCCGGCTTAAGACGTTCATGATAGTTCTTAATAGTGTCGACCCATTTAGATGGTATCGGCGTATGACCGGCGTCTAATAGTTCCTTAAGCTGCGCTCCTTTCAGCGGAATTGCCGCTTGAAAATCCTCATATTTCTTCCATTCCTTAGCGCGTGATCCATCGATCCGCAGGCGGACTGCTGGGGTGCATTCCCAGTATTTCAAGGCCTCGGGGAGGTCCTTGAGCTCCTGCTCAACCTGTTCTCTGGAAGAGAACCGGTTAGACCAAAAGCCACGGAGTTTCTGTCGAATACTCACGTTTGCTTCCTCCTCGTGTCTACGTTCCTCAAAACGTGACCTAATAGGAGCCGGCAGATCGTCCAGGAGGTCTGATCTGCTTCCTCTCCTGCTAGGATTAGGGGTTCTTTCTGCCTCGGGTTCAGCTGTACTGACCCGTCGGGACCTCGAAGATGATGCTGGTGGAGGTGATCTAGATCTACCTCTCTCTGGTCGCTCTGGTTGCTCAGTCATCTCCTCATCCTCGAAGATTGATGAAAGCGGTCCTGGGCCGTCCAGAAGACCATAGGATGGTTCTTCGGCTTCCTCTTGAGGTGTACCTTCCGAAGGTCCTTCTTCGGGCTCCTCATCACCGATGTCACCACCAGGTGCATCTCTGAGATCCTCGAAGTGTTGCTGTCCGCGCACCAGTTCTTCTGGCAGCACGGGTTCCCCTTGGAGAACTGCGTGTGCAAGTGCCTCGGCATCTTGCGCAGGCCTAAGATTCTGTGCGGACACTAGAACCGGTACGTTCTGACACAAAACCCACACGCTCTCGTTCTGGCTACCCTCAAAACCGATTACTCTAGACGCGGTAGACCAAACAGTTTTACCTGTTTTATCCCGCCTAAAGCAAACCACGTCTCCTACCGAGTACGTGTACGGCAGCGGTTTCGCATTCCTGAGAAGTGCACGCTGCACGCGTTTCGAGGTGTCCAAATGGACAAAAGCCTTCTTGGCTTCCGTCCGAGCCTGATGGATTAGGGCAAAACGACTCTCGGGATCAACTTGGTCGTTTAACGATCCAAGATCGGCGGTGTTATCCTCCTCTACTAGAGATGGAGGTCCCCGCGGCGTCTTCCCGAGTACCCACTGAGATGGGGAGTAACCTCCATGTCTCAGCATGCTATTCTTGGTGAGACAACACTCATCCAAGACTGTCTGTAATGCCACTTCGCCTACGGCCTGTGTTTGCGATACTACCTTTCTAGTCATCGCTTTCAGGATTCCGCCGTGGCGTTCCACTCGGCCAATCGACTCGGGTGTTTCCAATGGCGCGTGGTGTACTTGGATACCATGAGCCGCGCAGAACTGCGCTAGTACCCCGCGATTATGTAACCCACGGTCACACCGTATAATCGCCGGCATACCAGCCCACGCGGTCCAACGACGTTGGATGGCCTCTAGGCACCGGGCTGATGAAGGCAACCCGTCGCCTACGCGTACGGTCTCTGCAAGCTGAAAATACGTCCCTAAACACACCATATTCATAACTTGGTACTTAGTGCCTTGTGCATCTAAGCATTCGAAGATATCAATACCTAGGGCGTGATTGAAGGAATACCGTTCCGGCATGGATACGGTGTGTGCGTTTCTACGAGGCTGTGCGTCTTCGCACTCATTGCACCTATGAAATTGAGCCGCCTCTATATACGACTTATCGATTCTAGCGGTCCTTAAGAGATTAACTAGAACCTTCTTAGGGCAATGGCCGAATTGGCGATGTAGCCGTCGGATCGCTATGCGTATCCGCTGTGGCACCGCTCGCCATTTCGCACGACGCTCGGATTCCTCTATGGGTAATCCTCGCAAATCGACGTTGTCGAGGCGAGTTTCTTCCTCGATGGCCCCCTCGGAGGGGTCCATCAAAGCGAAATCGCGTGGTTCTTCCACCTGATCGAAGGGTTCTTCGTCGGCCTCAAGAGCCGGAAAGGCTTCTTGGGAAACAAGTGCAGTAGCTACTTGATGTTCTGCTATTTGCCGAAGCCACACAACG